GCCCGCAGCTCCTCCTTCACCCTCGGCAGCAGCGCGGCCGCGTTGGCCTGGATGGCGCCGAGCCACGACTGCGCCGTGGCCTCGTCCTTCGCCCGCAGGAAGAGGGCAACTCGCCCGTCCGCCGAGCAAACCTCCAGGTACCTGCAGGGACACGGCCCCGATGAGTCCCCGCCCGCCCTCGGCTCCCCGGGGCACCGCGGTGGCGCTGCCAGCCCCGGTGCCACGTGCTGACCTGTGCTCCGGGTCGGTGGGGAGGCACTTGCGGGACACGTAGCACATCTTCAGAGGGACACTCCGGCTCTCCCGGAGCTCCCGAGGGGACAGCAGCGGGGATGATCGCTTCTGCTGGGCAGCAGGAGAGGGGTCCCAGCTAACAGTTGCACCCGCCGAGGAGTTCTTGAAGTAGGGCGAGATCTCTTTCATGTACTTCACTGGAAGAGAGACAGCAGCCGCTGAGGACATGGCACAGGCCAGGGCAGCCTCATCCTGCCCCCTGAAACCCCCAGTGCTCTCTCTGCATCAGGGCTGGTGACCCCTCCATTAGCTCCCCAGAGCTGTCACCCATGGCTGCTGTGGGTCCCCTGCTCCTGTGGGTGCAGGGGTGGTACTGGTGGGGGGCTCACACAAGGAGTGACACAGAATCACAGGTTTGGGTTGGAAGAGACCTTAAAGATCAGCCCATTCAACCCCCTCATTGCATTTACTGGGGACTTCAAGCAGCATTAAAGGGATGCTGGCACATTCATGCCAGAGCTTGTAGGGCACAAGAGGAAGATCTGTGCAGATGTCAGTGGGGCCTTCCTGCAGGGTGCAGGGGGATGGAGCATTGTGTGCCTCTTGGGAGGATGGAGGATTTGGACACTAAGCCCAGGAGTGCTCAGGGTTCTGCTGGTAGACACAATTAGGGGAGGCTGTGGCCTCAGTGATAAGAGCAATTGCTTTAGGAACAGAAGAACATTGCTTATCACAGAATTGTCTGGGTTGGAAGGGAACTTAAAGCCCATCTCAATTCACCCCCTGCCATGGCAGGGACACCTCCCACTGTCCCAGGCTGCTCCAAGCCCCGTCCAACCTGGCCTTGGGCACTTCCAGGGATCCAGGGGCAGCCCCAGCTGCTCTGGGCACCCTGTGCCAGGGCCTCATCACCCTCACAGACATCCTGAACCCTCTCAGTACCTCAGCCCCACCATCCCAGCTTGGGGAGCTCTACAAGAGGGATAAAAAAACCCAGCCTTTTCCCCCTTTTTCCTTCCCTTTAACCCAGATCATTTCACAGTTGCAGACCTGAGCAGCTCCCTGGGGCAGCACACACAGCCAGGGGTGGGGAATGGGAAAGAGTCCCAGGCCAAAATTACACAGTCCAAACTGTGCTGGTACAGCCAGTCCTGCTGCCAGCTGAGGAACAGCTCTCAAATACCCTGGCTTGGCCCCAGGAAAAGCCTTGGAGAGTGTGCTCTCTGCTCACACAGCCCTGCCCTGTAAGCCTCAAACCAGGGACAAGAAATCAGTCCCCAGTGAGCCTGGCTTCAGAGCCAGAGCCCTCAGAGCCACACTGCGATGGCTGCCGACTCCAGAGGTTTAGGGGAAGGGAAGGGGGAGATGAAAGGCACCACAAATTGATGGGGCCCCACAACTACATCCTGAAAATGAGTTTGGCAATGCGCGCTGAAACACTCTGGCTGAGCAGACGGGATGCCAGTCCTGGTCCTGCCCTGGGGCAGCACGGGACCAGCTACTGACTCCAGGGAAGGGCTTCCCTTTGGAGGCCCTTAGGAAAACACCTCAGGACAGACACATGCCTGCAGCCACGTCCCCAGTCATCCTGGCTGGTTCCACTCCAGGTCCAAGCCAGCAGAGTGGGTGGCAGGATGGGGGACACGAGCTTGGCTTTGCAACCACCACTTGTAGGTGGCTGGATGGGTCCAGCTCCATTGCTGCAGCCAAGCCACAGCAGCCTGATGTGCTGCCAGAAAGGAGCCCTTTTCCCACCAGGAAAGAGTCTGCACGAAGAGCCACCCACTCCCAAACTTCACCTGGCCACCACCACCATCTCCTACCCATCTTCCCCTGATGTCACTGCCTCAAGGCTGCCAGAGCTCCAGGAGTGTTTGAACAATGCTCTCAGGGATGTACAGGGTGGGATTGTTGGGGTGTCTGTGCAGAGCCAGGGGTTGGACTGGATGATCCTGGTGGGTCCCTTCCAACTATTCTGTGCTCTCCCCTTTCATTCCTATCCCAGTGAGGCCCCTAAAACCCCTAAATCCTGATAGCCCGGCAGGAGCTGCAGGGAGCCAGAGCCCCGTGGGTGCTCTGCGGGACGGGCTATAAATGGCCACGGTGCTGTGCCACAAGGGCCGGGTCAGCCCGCGGTGGCCCCGGGGCCAAGGAGGCGGCGGGAGGCCACCAGCCTCGTGCCCTGCACCTCCCGCTTCAAAAATAGCCACGTTCCCGCAGGCATCCGAGCCGCGATGGATCTGACTCGAGCCATTAATCTTGGCAGCGGGGACCTGCCATTATCCCGGTGCCTGGGAACTAATTGGAGTTCAGAAAGATGCCATTGAGCCGCTGAAACCCGAGCGGCGTCCCTGCGCCAGCCCCTGGCTCCCCGGGCACGCGGGGGACGTCACCGGCATTAGCGGGGCGGTGGCGGGGTCACGTCCCGAGGGAGCCGCGGAGCACGGGAGCAGTGCCCAGTCCGGGACAGGGCACGGAGAATGAGGCAACAGGCAGGGTGTGTGTCTCGGGTACGTGGCTTTAAGGAGGTTTTCAGGCTGGTAGCGAAGCACGGGGGCTCCTGAGCCAGCACGGGGAGCTGGGAGGTGCTGGAGTCTGTGATGCTCCCCAGCCAAGGCCAGGTCACCATCCCACGGGAGCTGCTGTTCCCTCCAGTGACCCCAGCACTGCCTTCACAGCGGTGACTTACACTTCTGCCAGTCCCTTCACTACAGTTGGTATTGAATGGATGAATTCATTACCTCCATCTCTTTAAAGCAACAACTCAGACAGTATCATGCATCACCTCTGCTAGTGGTAACTGTAATTCTTGAACTGTTTTTTCTTTCTAATTAACACCTTGCAGTGCTGGGGCTCCTGCCTGCTTCCTGGCAGCCTGCACCCTCCAAAAACCACTGGGCAGCAAACACTGCCTGGCTGCTGTTGCCTTAGAGCCACCTACAGCAGGCACACAGCCCTCAGTGGCTGCTGGGCTAATCCACATGGTCTCCAAAGCCACATGGGCTCTCCAGGGAAAGAACCTGTCCCACTGAACCTCTCCAGCACAGGGGACAAATAGGACCTCTAACTGCTCACGGCTTTACACTAAGGAAAACTTTATTTTTTAGGGTTTTGGGGAACAGCAAAAGTCTCTGGGTGTGTGGCCACCCATCCCATGCCAGGGCAGTGCCTCTGCAGGGGGCCAGGTGGTGGCACAGGGGCTCCCAATCACTGGAGCATCCCACGTGTCCTGAACCCTGGAGTGAGCTGTACCAGGGACATGTTTAACCAAAGGTCCTGTGTCTTGCCTCTGTGTTGCAGCTGTTTTGGTTTTTTCCTCCCCAGCATTCCAGAAACGGGCAAAACCATCAAAATTTTGTGGTTTGATTTCTTGGGTAGAAATTCTCCCTCTCCAACAGCCCATCCCTGATAAGGCTGGAGAACAATCACAAACCGCTCCTGGCACTCTGGATCCTGAGTCAGCACAACCTGCCCCACATATCCCCATATGTCATATCCCACATATTCCACTGCTCAGAACTAAGCCTGACCCTGCAGAGCTTCACTGAGGAGCCACAACGCTTCCTCCAAGCAGGAAAACAGACATGGATACCCAGAGCAGCTTCAAGAACACCCTCCCACTGCTTGGGTTCACCAGCACACCCTGCTTCAGCCTGGAGATCCAGCGTGGATTCCAAGAAGTTCCAGCCTCCATTTCTGGTCAGGAATAGGATTGTGCTGCTGTTTCTCCTGACAAAATCTTCCCAGCAGCATCTACCCAGCTCAGCAAGGCCACCCCATCAGGAAACCTTCCAGAGAGCTCCAGGAGACTGAGTGCTGGCCCTACAGAGATGCTAATCCCACCTCCAGCTGGTCCCTCTCTGCCTCAGGGTTAATGAGGCAAAACTGGCATGTTAAACTGGGGGGCTGAGCAAACACACTTCCCAAAGAGACACCCTGAAATGACCTGCCAGCTCCAACCCGATGCTCTGATGTGCTTCCAAAACAGGTAACAGTCCCCAGCACCCCAGCCTGGGACCATGTCCTGCCCCTGGCTCCAAGCATGAGCACGACAGCAGCTCCCGTCCCAGCTGCCTCAGCTCAAGTCCTTCTACCCCAGGGAGGAAAACCATGGGATGCTGCAGGGTGAGGCACCACTGCTGTCCCTCCTGCCGCAGGATCCCATCCCAGCACTCAGTGCCACATTCCATGCCCCAGCTCTTTGCTAAACATTCCCCTGTGCTGCACTGTCAGCAGGGAGATCATGGGACAACCCTCCGTGTTTCCAGGGAGGAGAAACAAACCCAGGAAACTCCCCAGAGAAAGCAAAGCTTCAGAGCAGAAAGGTGTGGAGGTGGCATATGTGCCCCATCACCTCTTGGCATCATTCCCAGGGCAGATCCAAAGCCTTCCTTCCCACGGTTATGGAAACCAGCACTCCAGAGAATCCCCAGCTCCACTCTCTCCCAGCACCCATTTTTCTGAATTTCAAACTTCCAAGCAATTACTTAGCTAAGCAAGTCCTAAAGAGCAGAGCCAGCCCCCGAAGCTTCCCTGTGGCAAATAAATTGTGGATGTGGGATGCCCACAGCTACCCCAACTCCTCCTCCCCACTGCTTCCAGTTCTCCCCCCGTGACAATACAGCCTCACCAGGAAAACCACTCCTGTCCCCAGAACCCTTCCCAAGGCAGCTGGAAGGATGTTTATCAACCTTCCCCTTGCCATGGAGAGTCTCTGGATTCCAAGCAATGAAAATAAAAAAAAACAACGAGAAAAATAAGGCAAGGGAGAGCAACTCTCCCCGAAATAACAATGTAATATAAATACAGTCCAACTCCTCCTGCAAATACCAAGAGAGTAGTTTGGCACATCCAAAAAAAATCTTGGCAGGACACACAGAGAGGTATCTGCGTGTCCTCATGCCTGGGCAGCAATGACACCCAGGAGCCTGAAGCCAAGCTGAGCAGCGCAGGGTGAAATCTGGCACATGGAGCCACTGGTGATACTCACATTAAAACACATCACCTCCCAGCTCTGCCACTTTGGGAAGTCTCAGCCCAGCTCACTGCCCTGTGAGGAGGTGCCATCTCTGCCAGTTTTGTTACCTGCTGCAAAGCCACCTGCAAACCATCCTAAAGTCTCCAAATCCCAGGAATAACTGCAGCCAGGAGCAGCAAGGAATGAACAGCCACTGGCTGTGCCAAACACTCTGGTTTAGCACTCAGAGCACCATAAGGAAAACATGCACCATGCAGGGACCAGAAAATGTCTAAGTAAGAGGTCTTTTTTAAGCTCTGCCTTCTCTATGCAGGAGAAGGCAGCAGGGAACCCCCTGGTTTAAAACCCTTCAGGCACTTTAAAGCCACTCCCTGCCCCTCAGTCCTGCCACCTCTCCCTGGGGCAGGGTGTTTGGCCAGCCAGCTCCTGGAGAACCACAGAAGTGGCAGGTACAAGGCAGGGCCACCACCTCCACAAGGCAGTGACAGCCTGACCATGGCACAGTGCCAGCCCCACCACCCCCACAACAGTGCTGCACTGTGCCAGCACACCCAAAAACAGGGAAGGGATGGAGATGTACCACATTTATCAGTGACATCAGTGATCAGATGAGAAGCTGAGATTCCTTCCCTTCTCTGGGTGGACCCCAACAACATCAGACACAAACTCATCCTAGAGCTCCAGAGTGCTGTAGCAGGAGCTAGCCCAGCCCCAGCCTCCTCCCAAGGGTACCTGCTGGGAGTTTTAAATAATTAAGAAGCCCAGCAGGTCATACCTGAGCTCAGCAAGCTACAGCAAAGTCCCTGCCTGCAGCTGCCTCCCAGGAGGGGGACCTGGATCCCAGGGAATGGAGGAGGGGTGCAGGGAGAGAAATTGTTCTCTCCAGAAAGGGCAGCTTCTCTCCACCTCTGGCAGGAGCTCTGTCAGAAAGGAAACCCACACTAAAGAATGGACAGAAAATAACAGAGGGAGGGTGGTCTGAGAGCAGCGGCTCCAGGCAGGAATTTTGCAGACTCACAAAGAAAGAAGCTCTTGTATTTCTCTTTGGTCAGAAAAAAACAACAAAACCACCCCACGACCAACCCTATCTGCTCCTAGCAGCTGTGCAGAGCAGCACATTCCTCCAGCTGAACCGTAGTCCTGAGGCTCTCAGGAGAGGAGGAACCCACAGCAGAAAGGGCTGAGCGAAGCTAAAAACGAAAATCTGGAGCTGAGACAATCTGGGGAAGGCACAGGAAAGCCAGAATCACAGTAGTTGCTGGCAGCACAGCACATGGAACTGCTTTGTCCAAGGACAGCCCCAAGCACTGTCCCCAAATCAAACCTCCCTCTGGGATCTGGGAAGGGTCTCTGGTGCCAAACCCCCCCTGTTAAGCAGGGTGACCCCAGGGACTGGTTGGAAGTGAGGGGAGGGGAAAGCTCTTTTCCTGAGATTTGGGATGCTCATCCCAGCCTGGCCAAGCTGGCAGAGGGTGGGCAAACATGGACAGATGTGATGTGAAGGGTAACCAGAGAAGAATGGGGTGTCTCCCTCAGGACTCCCATGGTCCCAACCCAAGTAGGGTTTGAGGGGTCCTGCAGTGTGCCAGCCCCCTCAGGGCTGGGAGACGCCAGGGACCACCTGCCTGGTACCGAGAGGAAGCCTGTTCCCATGGAACAGCCTGCTCCAGGGTGGTGAAGGCTGCATCCCTGGGATGTTTGTGGCCTCGGCTTCCAGGGATCCCCTAGGTGGGCAGCAATCCCCTGGATGGGTAGTTCCTGAGTAGGCCCTGCCTCACCCTCCACCTGCCCAAAACCTGCCCAGCAAACCCCAAGGTGCTCAGTGGGAGTGGGGGGCCAGTGCACCCCCTCCCTGCTGGCATAAATCTACACCAGCCAGGGATGTGGGTTTAAATTAAAAACACGGGAAAAGCAGAAAATGTTTTCTCTTGCCCCAGGAACTGCAGACGTGGGGGTGATGCTGTGCAATGAAAGAATCCCAAATCCCAGAAACTCATCCCACGCCTCCCACTGCTGCCTGCCCAAGGTCCCACAGTGGGGAGACAGAGCCTCTGGGCATGGAGCACTGGCACACACATCCCTCCCTCTCGGAAGGAGACTGGGAGATCCCAGCAGTTACCTCCAGCTCTCCGGATGAGCAGACAAATTACTCTGCATATGTTGTTTTCCATTTGAAAGAGTATGCAAATGCAGCTGCAGATGATATGCCACCCCTGTGTCATCCCAGTACCGGAGGACCCTTCTGCCCCCATCACATCCTTGTCTCCTACCTTCCAAGATCACTTCCTTGCCCGTTTTCTTCAAGGCCTGCACGGCCTCATCATGCGTGGCCTCGGACAGGTCGGTGCCATTGACAGCGAGGATGGCATCCCCCACGTACAGCGCCTCGGTCTGATCCGCTGCCAGCCCCTTAAAGATCTTGGAGATCAAGATGGGCATTTTATTCTCTCGGCCACCTTGAAACAGAAGAGACAGGGAGCGGTTGTGGCTGTTGGAGCACTTGGAAGCGTGGGTGGGGAGGGGGATGCTCTGGTAGCAGATGGTCCCAGCAAGGCTGAGCCTTTCTGCTGGCACTCAATGCACTGTGCCAGGTCAGCCCACTGCCCACTCCCCCAGATACCCACAGGACACCTGTACCAACCACAGCAGCCAAAGCACCATGAGGCTTTACAGCTGATGAAGTGATTGCTCCAAAACCACTCAGATTGGTCACAGATTATTCACAGAGCGAACACATAACATGGCCATCTCCCCATCGGTTTTGGCAGGGAAGTGTATCGTTATTTGCATTATTAATCATGTGTGCTGAGCAACTATCCTGGCTCCAAGGACTTTATGATCTCAACAGATAAGACAGCTGAATGTTTTTGGAGAGGCCAAAGAGCCAGGGAGAGGTGAACTACTCTGGCTGTGTGTTCCTGTCCACACAGCAGCCCCATTTACTGGCTGCTCCCCACTGTCCCGACTAAAAGAATGCTATTCAAACCCCCGGCGGCTTCAGGAGATCAATTTGCACATTGACTTTTGAACCCGCAGGGAGATCCGAGCTGCCTCCGTACCAGGGCGCAGAGATGCAGCAGCCACTGCCCGAGGCAGCCAGGGATCAGCAGTGCCCGATGTGCCCTGCGCCCCGGGACAGCCTGTCCCGAGGAGTGCCCAAGAGATGATCCTCATCCCAGAGGGAGATGCTGAACCCCGCCCGCTGTCACTGCCCGCCCCGGGCTGCTCCCAGCCAGTGCCACAGGCATTTCCTCGCTCAGCCGCCTGCCAAACCCTGCGAGGGCTCCGGTTATCAGCTGTCAGAGGCCCCGGCGGGGGCTGCTTCGTCCTTGAGGCAGCGGCTCCTCGCACGGCTTCCAGCGCCGAGAGCCCTGCCAGGCTAAGAACTTCTGCCAGCCCAGCTCTCGCTCGGCTCCCCGCTGTCCTGCCAGCTCCAAGCCACGTCCCGTGGCAGGACATTCACCTGCGGGTGGCACCCAGTGTCCCTGTGTGAAACACGGCTCGCACATGAACACTGACATGCCATCAGCCCGGTGAGCAGTGATGTCCTGCCCTACCAAGGCTGCCCCACCCTCCACAGCAGCTTCCACTGCCCGGTTTTGATGGCAACTACTTTTTTTCCACATACGTCACTGCAAAAATAAAGTTTTAACTGAACCAAGGGAAGTTTCTCCTTTCCTGGGAGAGCCACAGAGCAAGCAATAACTTGGCAGCCAAGGGGAGTTACGAAAGGGGGTTTGTCCTTCCCAAAAAAAGGGCTGACAGGAGGGGGCACCCCGCAGACACGGCCAGCAGTGTCGATCCAGCTCCAGCACCCGCACATTCACATTGCAAATCCCCCTCACTTCCAGAGGGAGCCGGAGGTTGAGGCTGTGTCCCCTCCGAGCTGGGAGAAGCCACGTCAGGAGGCGAGAGCTGCCCTGTGACTGCGCCCGGGGCTGCCGAGCCCGCTGCCTCTCACAGCCACGCTCCGTGACAGCCCCGTCCCTGGTCTCCGCTGCCCTTTTCATCCCGCTTTCACAGCTCGCTTGGAGCCGCGTGAAAATCAAAGGCAGGCAGAAAGGCAGGAACGCCATCGCTTCCCCAAGAAGTTTCCAGCCTGAAGTTCAGGCGAGTCACCAAGGAGCGGGACAGCTCGGGAGGGAGAACAGACATTTAACAGGGAGGCTGTCCGCGCTTCTCGGGAGCACACATCTCCAAAGCCGAGTGCGCTGTTAAACACCCCCCACCCAGCGCCGGCAGATCTCCAGGGCCTTTACATCGCTCCCTTCGTTCTGCTGACAGTATTAAAGGGGCATTTCCCAACTCAGGAACACGGTGGGACAAGGACACGCCGGTCCAGCCCTCCCTTTGGCTGCAAAAGGGCAACTTCCGCGTAAGCGGGTGTCCCCCTGCACCCCACCTGCCCCGTGGGACAGCACCGTACCCGGGGGTGCGGGGCACCGCGGGAGCCCCCTCCGGCTCACAAACCCTGGGGCCCCTCAGCCCGGCCGGGGCACGGCGGGCCGGCACTGCCCGGTCACTCCGCACCCCAAATCATCGCCCTTTCCGTAGGCTGGGAACGGTTCGGGTCCCGTCACTGCCACGTGTGTCCCTCCCCGTCCTGAGCTGGGGCTGGGGGATGTGAGAACCCCGATCTCAGCCCCGGTCACCGCGGGGCT